AGAAAATTTAGAAATAGCTGATTTGGAGGGACAGAATTTCACCCGGCTAACTCCCAGCAGTGAGTCTCAGATTTGGGTGTGGTCAGTTAGCATTGGCTTCCAGACAGAGCCTGTGGCAAACAGAAATGCTGGCTCAGCCTTGCTCCCTGGCACAGGTGCTCTCCACAGTTTCTAAACCCCATCACAGCAACCTGAGGTGGCTTTCAGCAAAGACATGATTCAGCTGTGCTGTAGGCAGTGAACTCTCCTCTCCTTTGTAACAGCTTTAACACACAGTTCTCACACTATCCTAGTACTAGAACTTTTGCATTCATGCTGTTTTCCAAGGATTTCTGTCCTCTGACTCACCAGGATGCCTCTTTCATTAGCTCCAATTTAAATTAAGGGTTTAATATTTATCTGTGCTTTAGGTGAATACTAGCTGACCGTTTTAAAGCAACAGCAATAAATAGAATCACTGAACAAACAAGATTGGAAAAGACCTTTGAGATCATCAAGTCTAACCTATCAACAACTAAACATGGCACTGAGTGCCATGTGCAGTCTTTTTTTAGACACCTGCAGGGATGGTGACTCTACCACCTCCCTGGGCAGGTGATTCTAGTGCTCAATCACTCTTTCATTGAAGAATTTCTTCCTGATATGTAACCTAAACTCCCCCTGTGCAGCTTAAGACAACAGCAGAAAGGCAGTGTTTCTTCACAATAAACACTTGGTACTGCTGCTAACTTGTGCAGTCTAAACATAAGCTGAGGTATGCAAGCACTGAGATAACTGCAGTTTAATCCAGGTGAGGCTCTTTCTTCTTTAAACCAAGACTGGAACTAGAAAGGGTAAGAGAAATGAGAAACTCAGATTGTCAACAACAATTTTGTAGCTTTCTACACTTCCTACCATTTTCTACTACACTCATATGGTGAATATACTAGGAAATAGAATCTGGGTTTGCATTTCCTTTCTAGCCTTGTGCAGCATAATATTAAATAATAGCATTTGCTGTCTAATCTGCACTTTAATATGTTTTCTTCTCTTGCCTAATTTTATTAATGGAAGGAGGGGGAGGATCTTGTGGCGAGCACAGAGTACTGGAAGTCAGGTGATGTGGGTTATATTCAGAGTTCTGCCACAGGCTTCCTGTGCAGGCTCCTGTAATCAGGTTTGCTAATATACAAAATTAAGATAATGACATTTCCCCTCCTTACCAGGGTGTTGTGACATTTAATTCATTAATGTTTGTAAAGTGCTCTGTGCTCCTTGCTTCTAAATGTGCTCCTTACTGTAATAACGTCTTATGGATGGTATTAAATTTGAGAATAATGTTATTTTAGTGCTGGTGCACTTCAGTTGGCTGAACTGTAGTAAAGACCATAATTTCCAGTATTTTATGAGCTACTGGAATTTTTAGATGACTTACTTGAAATTTAGCTAATATAGTTACAGTTATAAAACCTATGACAGTGCTGTGCCTGCTACTTTTTTTTCCTTTTTCACTATGATGAAATATTTAGCAATAAGCAAGACTTTGTCCAGACAAAAAGGAGAAGGAAAGAAAGAAAGTTTGGCATAAATAGTCTAGTTGCTTGACTTCTAGCACTGCTACACAGCCTGCTTTCTCCCCTGGTGAGTCACAGTCCCAGTGCAAAATGCACAGAAAAACTGCGCAAGAAATTAGGTAAAGAAATAAAAATAAAAATCTGGGGTTAAAAAAAATGGGAAATTTAGGTTATTTATCTAAGTTGTAGCAGTACTATAGGACCAAGCAATATATATATAATTTATGCTATAGAGTTAAAAACAAACAAAAAATTTTAAACTTACAAAATCTCTGAAGGTTTGGCAATGCAACTCCCAATAAATTGACTACAAATCATAAAGCTAAATTCCTATATTACACAGGAAAACAACCCAAGTAAAATTTTCTAAACATGCAGTACAATATGTTTGTCAATGTAAACAGAATCTGTGCATAAAATGAGCTGCTGAGATTTTAAAAACCAGGAAAGTATTAGCAACATTCATTGTGCTTATCTGGATTGTTCAGAGCTTACTCCTTCACTGAAAATCCACTCGTAGATGAAATCTAATGCCAATCAGACAATTGTAGTACATAAAACAATCTGGTTTTTATAGGCAATGATAATTACATGGGGTGAAGAAGGGAATTACAAACTTACCGTCAGAGGAGCAATTCGTTCAGGCTGTGCATGCTCAGGCTGTAACCTCGCTGCTGGCACAGTACAAGGAAAACGTACATGTCCCCTCACAAGCACTGTCCAACATTAGATTAGTAGGAAGAAAAGAAAGCAGCTGACACTTACTATCATTATAAAAGTTCCCAGGAACTCTGAGAGGGCTTCTTTAACCAGGCTGTTCTTCAAGGAAAATTTCTCCTTTAAACTCCTGTTGTTTTTCCGGCTCATTTTGGCTTCCTCTATTGCTCTGGTGCCCTAGTTACAAATACACACAAAATTTGTTCTGTATTTGTCCCTGCTCCAGCTGAACTTTGACACTTTTACTTAAACATTGAAATATGAGATTTCATCTTGTACAGCCAGTGAAATCATCTGACTGCAGGCATTGACAGAACCAACTCAACATGCCCTAACAATTCATCATGGGTTTGTCATTCTATGCCTTCTCTAAGTGCACTTCTATTTATACTGGTTAGATAATACCAGTAAGTTTGCAATCAGATTTCTTCTTTTTTTCTTATAGAATAGATTAATCATTACCTTTCCTATGTTACTTTTTTTTTTTAAGAATTAATTCCATGTAAGAATTAATAAATTGTTGTTTCTATCATCCTGATCAAAAAAAAAAGGCAAAAAGATAAACCACAAAGTAGGGAACCAATATATACTTGCAAATTTCTCTCTGACCTTGATTGGGATTTAAACCATGCTACTATTGGTTGTCAAAGAATTTTTCAAGGGGAAGTTGTAAAGAGAGCAAATGCTTGGGAGAATGCTCTACTGTACCCTGTACACAAAAGCCCTTAACTTCTGAGACATTTCAGTGTCTAATGAGGAGCCTTACCTTGGTGGTGTGTGTTGAATTTGCATATTCACTCACAATGCTCTTTTTGGACTAAATGCCTTGCTCTCTAGTGAACTTCCCTGTTTACAAAAGAGCAATGAGGCAGAATAAATGAAGAACATTTAATGAAATCTGCTTTGGTCCAGTGGCTCCTTACAAGGCAGAACAGGGAAGTGAAGCACTGAGTTACTATATATTTCCTGTATGTTTGGCTTAAAACGCATTGGGTGCTATAATGTAGAGTATTATAATATTATTTTCCATGATCTTAAGACTTGAAGTTGCCAAATATCTCAAAGAACTGCACCTCCTAGAAAAAAATATAACACCTTTATTCCTTCAGCATCTTGAATGTTTTTATCAGATGTGATACAGACTTTATACTCTCTGGTTGATTTCCGACTATTTTCTGCTGTTTGACTTGACACTAGAACTTCAGCCCAGTTCTGGTAGATTATTTTGGCATGTATTGTAGCTGCTCAGTGCAGCTGAGGTTTGGATCTGTCCTAAAGAGGGCAGAGCCTTACAAGGTTAGGGAAATGTGCCACTTGTTATCCCATCAGTGTTCCTCCTAGCCTCCAGCTAGGTCCTGCTGAGTGTTCCCTGCAGCACTTACCACCCCCAGCTTCACCCCTTAACCCTCCAGTTCTCCCCACCACCCAGTTTTCATCCTTGACTGCTTTTCTGTGTGCTTTTACTCACCTTTCTCTACTTCTGCATCCAAACTCCAGTGTGTCCTCAGGTGGTTCTGAAAGCGCTGCCCTGTGGAGCAGCACGGAGCTGATGCAGCAGCAGATGGCAGCATCCGAGCTGGTGCTGGTGAGCCGGGGACACCCGTGCAGAGGCGGTGACACTGCTGCAGGACAGCTCCAGTCCTGCTCCACAGGTCCTGCCTGTGGCACAGACAGCTGAGCCCGCCTCTGGGGAGCCCCTGAAAATGGCCTGTGAATAGCAGCTTGAAAACATTTACCCCACGCCACCGAGAAACAAACATATTACTCAGGACCTCAATTATCACAGCGGGGTGGAGTGTATGTTTGTTATGTCTGTGAGAGAATTCTTTCAGGGTAATGTATACATTAGAACTGAGGGAGGATGCTTGGGAGGATATTCATTACAGCAGGAATGAGATAAACCACTTCCTCTCTTTCAGGAAAATGATAAATAAATAAAGAAACATGTTTATGGAAGCAATTTTTAGTTGTTTGTCTATAGCGATTCCTTCTCTTATGCAGATGCAAGTCTTGCTCACCTAATATATGTAGGTACCTCTGAGTTTTGTCTCATAGCAAATATGAAGACATTAATGCTACTTTTCAACTAATAATGGGGTAATAGCATGTCAGAGACAAAAATTTATACTCATTTGTTCAGATCACGTTGACTTCCTTATATGAATTTTCTGTCTTTGCAGGGTGGAGAACTGCAACAAAAGCATTTATTTTACATTTGATCCTATCAGAACTTCTTCAATACTTTATAAAAATCCTATTTTTAATTCCATTAATAAGAACTTGGATGCAAAGTTAGACCAAAGGTTCTCCTCAGCTCTATAATGAGATTCAAGCAGGTGCTCTAAGAAAGTATTGGAGAACAGAGTACACAGGGGATGACTGCTCCCTTGGTAAATCCTTCCAGTTTTGACATGTGGCAATTCCAAGGCACTGCCCCACTTTCCAAAGAGAAAAGGGGGCAGCTCAGAACATTTGAATTCAGTTTCTCCTTATCTTATACTTAGAAAGAGATTCTATGACATTTACCAAATTGAAAAAATATATATGTAGCATTTTAAAAAAGACAAGTAAAGTGTAAATATAAACACTATGAAAGCTTTGGCTTTAATTGCTATCTATTTGATTAATCCTCTGTTTAATTGCCTTTTAGTTGTATGCAATGGAACATCTGGTTGAAGAAGGGAAAGAAAATGCACTGTGATTACTGTTTTCTACTGTTCCCTCACCTAGGCCCTGCTCCCAGAGTCAGAATGAGAAGGATACCAGCAGTGCCACCCATAAATATTGAAACTGTGTCATCTGAGGGAAGAAAATGAAGACATCTTCCAAAAATGGAAGTTATATAAGTAAGTAAGGAGCATACATATTAAATGTAGAACCACAAGAAAGGTCACCAAAAAGATTTTAAGGTTTTGCCAAGAATGTGAAAGTAAGATTCTAAATGTTTTCAAATTCTATTACCAGAGGAGTCGTGTGAGACTGTAAGTAAAGCTGTGGAGGATGGAAGCACAGAAGAAGCATTCAACATGGCTATGTCCACAGCTAAAAGAATTATTTGCCTTGCTAGATTTGGTGGGCTGGGTGTGAGCAACTGTTCTAAAATAAATTGTCATCAGGAAACACTTCAAGAGAAATTGATAAATTAACCAGTAACTAATTGCTGGAGCTGTGCAGTTTCCACCAAGGGGTTAAAATGCTCAGCTTCTCAAGTGCTTGTGTCAGTGGGTTGGTTTTCTGCTGATCCTGATCCTAATGTCAGCAAAACAGGCCATAGGAAATATACCACTGATCTGCTGGTGCTTCAGGAGAGTCCTTCAAAGGTGATCACAGGGGCTACAAAACTGTCAGTGTGACTTCTGTGCCAGGAAAATTAGATAAACTGCTGTGAAAAGTAAAATCAATAGACACACAGATAAAGCTGGTGCTCTGTAGAAGCATCAAATGGATTCTGTTAGGGGAGGTTATGCCTCACAAATCTGCTGGCATCCTTTAAAGACATCAAAAAGCACATTGATATTATTTTCATGCTTGAATGTGGGATCAGTGTAACCTTAGATTGCAAGACTAAAACTCTGGGGACTCTTACCCCTGAGGCAGTCTGGACTGAGCTATTTCTTCTCTTCACCTGGATTCAAGCAGAGCAGGAATTCACATGATGTATATAACCTAACCATTTTTATAGTAATCTTCACTCCTATAGAAATAGCAAAGTAGAGAATAATGCACATAGCTCCCACAGTTTAAATCCCACGGGTAACAATATATAGTGTACTGAATTTTTAATAGCACATTATTCAGAGTATCACATAAATTGTTATTACTGATGTAATAAAACCTAAACCAACACAGCTGGAGAGACCAAGGTTGTAAATACACCATATATTTTTTGTATTGTAATAATACAGGCCAAATTATTTTAAAGTTTGCTGATTTTAGTTGAATTAGACTAACTCTGTGAACCTCTAATTCAGGTCCCTGGTCAAATGCCTTTGCCTAATTTATATCTCAATTTTCATACAGAAACTGATGCATGGTATACAAGGGGCCTTCTCTGTTTTACAGATTGGTTCTCCTGCTGGGGAAGTCAAAGAAAAAATTCAGGTGAGGAAGATCTGAACACACTGTAATTTAGCATTCTAAGTGTTTTAGTTTTTTAGTACATAAACCTTCTATTTCTTTATTTATTTTATTTCCTGATTATCCCTCTGTCTCTGCTGTAGTCCCTGGTGAAAAAGTGCTCAAGGTGAGAAATCTTTGCAATGGGCAGCTCAGGTTTAGCTAAGCCCACCTTGGAGAAGGGGCATGGCACACAAGGGGACTGCTTGAGAATTTGTTCTTTCTTCTCTGTGACCTCAGTGTCCAGATAAAACATTTCTGTCTGTATCATGAATATGAGATCAAACCCTTACCACATATGTGTACTTCAGGCTTTTTGCTCATAATCTTTAAGGCCTGACATGTATATGTCTGCTGTTGCTGACACTGATTTCAGGGAGAATTAAACTCCACTTTCTCTAAAGCAGGACCCAGGATTTTGCTTTGTTCTTGACTGGCTGGGCACACCATTAGGCCTCAGTGCATAACTGATGGTACTGCACATCCATGTTATGTATGGTTGTATAACTGATGATAGTAAATTTCAAAGCTTGTTGTATGTGTAACTCAGGTCCTGCCTGAGAGTTTCTGAGCCAGTTTAATCTCTCAGCAGCCGTGCTGGCACAGAGGGGCACAGATAACATTCCTCTGCAGAGGGCCCCGTGACAGGGCTGTCAGTGCTGGCACCCCGTGGAAGTGTCGGGGCAATGCTGGACAGATGCTTACGTGCTGCACTGTTATCAGCTGCACTGGGTGTGCTGCCCTCTGAGCCCTAGGAGGAGCTTAGCTGGTACGGGATGGTATGGGCAAACCTTACTGAATGCATCCAGAGAATGACTGTTGCAGTATAAAAAGAATTTTGCTTTTAAAGCATAGATCAATTTATTACAGAGGAATGCCGTGTTTAAGCCAATTCCCTGCTCTTTTTTTCCTGCATATTCACTTTTCTCATATAGTTTTGCTATTAAAAACAAAAGGCATCTTTGCTAAATACATTAATGCAGCCTGAAGAAACATCCTGAAAAGTACATCCAGTGGATCCAATATATCCAAGTATATTGCAGGGATCTGAATCCTGTGTTTTCTTAACCTGAATGGGACATGTTATCAAAACCTTTCATCATTCTGCAGGGCACAGGGTCCCTGTAGCAGCCTTGACACTTATTAAGGCTACTTGTAGGGTTGTGAAGAGGAGATCTGAGCCTACCTAACCGATAAAAGGAATGTAGCATGAAAGCCAAAGATAATGACAGATTTGACTCTACTGACACACAAAAGTGAAGTTGTGCATTTGGGAAGTACAGGGAGCTAACTAGGAGAGTTGATTCATGGCTCTAAAATCTGATTTTCACTAGAAAAGTGACAGTGTTTCCTGTACCTGACTCACCAACCCAGCTTCTTTCACCTGTCTCCCACTCTGCTTGGGCCTCCAAGGGAGCCATCCAGCCACAAAGTGACCCTCTGCTGGCAATGAATATTCTGTTAGAGCTGCTGCTCCCAGGGCTTTGTCCCCTCTCTCCCTCAACGATTGCATTTGTTTGTTTCACTCCATACTCCACTCATCCTTTAATAGATGAGTTGTAAGTCTGCCTGGTTTTCATTCTTTTCATGCCCTTTCATTCAGAATTATCCACATTTGATTGTGTAAATCCTCTGTCTTTCCAGATACAAGTTTTGCTTCTGGGATTACTTTTATGTATTAAATATTTAGAACATAGATGATACATTTATCTCAGGCCCCTGTATAAGAATATTAGATTGGCAGGCCCAATTCCTTTGAAATTCCACAATCAAGACCTTTTAATAAAAAAAAGGTGTTCTGAGGTTCATAGCTGACCCTTTATAGGGTGTACTTGGGAGCAGACCCAGCAGCAATCTTTTGTTACTTCTGCATGGTATCTATGTTCATTAAGGTAATGAAGCTATTAATTGAATATGTAAGTTCAGGTAATTAAATACAAGACTTATTTCTTTAGTTTAAAGGGTAATAATAAAAAATTTAAACTTGCAAACTAGATCACACATTTAGTGATGATGAATGTGAGCTGGAAAGTGCAATATTCCAATATGAATTAGTTAATTGCATCCATTCATTAGGTGATGTACATTAGCAGAAGGTCAATCCATTTGAGGCTCGATGTGTTTTACAAATAATAAATTTCAACAGGTAAATTGAAGAGAAATTCAAAACAAAGTTTTTTTATATATTCTAATTCAGAATAAAATCCCTACACCCAAGAACATGTTCCCTATAAGTTCCCAGTTACCAGCACATGCTCTTTGCAGCACTGCTGGGGTCACTGTGGCCAGTGAGGGACAGGTGACATTTCAGCTGCTGGCTTAAACTAAAATGCTAATTTTTAAAACTGACCCACTTATGAAGTAAGTCCAACATTGAACTTTTTCAAGCATTTTCTGCTTTATCACTCTCACTGAATTATGAATTATTGAAGCTTGCTTAAATCCCTAAATTTGCATTTCAGTTTTGGACTAAATTTACCAACAACTGGTAAATTTACCAACTGTATGTAGATCTCTGTTGCTTGAAGAAAGTATTCTGCCCTTTAGGCCTCTTCCTTTTGCAAATTTTGTAAATTTGCCATTTGTTAATTTTGCCAGCATTTAACAGTTCCACTGCATATGAAATGGCCAATATGACAGGTAAAAAAGCTGATCTGTTTGACTTTTTTTACCAAAAATGATCCATTTAACTAATTTTTAGTGAGAAAAGTGTTAAATCAAATTTTCTTCATTAGACATTTATGAATATTCAGTAATAAAATGGTTGTTCTTAATACCAGCATTTTTTTCTGGTGTTAGAGGTAATGTAGAAATAAGGAAAGTAAAAGTGGATTTTATTCTGTTTATTTATAGCTTAAGATATATCCAGGCTCAATTATTAATAAATTTATAATTTTAAAAGAATTTATTCACTGAGATACATGAAAAATTCTGAAATAATATTTTAGAGGCTCCTCACAGCATTGTGGGTGTTGCTTCACAGGTCATATTGCTTAGGTGTATAATAATGCATTTTTACTTTCTGTGTATAATACACCTTTGTCTGGAGCAAGGACTGCTCCCATCCTGCACACAGCTCATTGGCCATAATTCTTAAAGAGATTTCAACCAGTGAGCCTTTTGCAATGGTCAGGCAAAGAGACATTTAGAGAATTGATTCAATTAACCTAGAGGAAAAAAGTGCTATAATGTGTGATTTATGTTTGCAGATAAATTAAAATACAAGTATCTCCTGAAGAGCATTTGCTGCCCTCATGGTCGGTAATGAAAATAGCAGGCAATTAAAATGGAACACCTGAGGTTGAAGCTTTAATGTATAGATCGGAAAATGAAGTTCAGATTTCCTAAGTGGAAGGCTGAGCTGAAAAATAACTTAGGGGAAGTTTTTATTCAATCTCTACTTTTCTTCCAAAAGCAATTTATAAAGCACACAAAAAACAGGAAGAGAGATTTACTGAAGCAAGGGGCAAAGGGTACAGAGGAGTGGGATCTCTCAATCAATACTGAATTTGTATGAGGAACCAGGAATATCCTTGCTAAATGGTAGTGGAACAGCTGAGAGAAAAAGTTATATATATAAGAACTTATGGGTCATATTGAAATAATTTTGGGGTGGATTTTGCAGTTGATCTTGAGAGGAATCATTGGAAGTGTCTGATAGAGTGATGTGACTCAGTTCCTGTGTGTGTCAGTGCTTTCTGGAGCTCACTCAGGAGCAGAAGAAATGTTCATGGATTAGGAGAACTGAGAACGAAGAGCACTTGCTTGGAGCCTTGTTGGAGTTGCTGCATCCACTGCCCATTTCAGTGGTGTGTTCCTGTGTGCTTGGGCACAGCTAAACTGCCCAAAAGATGTTTTGAGATACAAAGAGCTTCACCTCATCCTCTAGTTTTATCATTTCCTTTAGACAACAGGTACACAGTAACACAGAGCAGAAAAGTACCAGTACTCTGACTGAGAAACCCAGGAATACTTTTATTACACCTGTATTGTCTTCAGCATTGCAGCTTTGTCTTTTGTACCCTGTCTGGCCACCACAGGTCCAGATTCATTTAGATTGCTCCAAATAGAAAAAAAAAAAACCCTCCAGGAACGATTTTGATGTTGGCTGCATACTAGCTTAAATACTAAGACTGAAGCAAGGAACAGAGTCACTTGATTGTTCTTCGTTTTATTGACAACCATTTCATTACAAAGTGTGAAGACTTTGTCATTGCAATCTGAAAGAGAACATATTTGTTTCCTGATTTGCTGTCTAAGTAAAATTTTAATTAAAACCCAATAATGTGAGAGAAAAATAAGCCAGTCTGACTTGACAGTTGATTTAGTTTTGCAAATTTACAAAAAAAAAAAAAACCCAAACCAACCCCCCCCCCCGCACACAAAGACCCCCAAAAAACCAAACTAGAAACTGCAGCACTGCAATAAGTAGTTTTCTGTTGTATGGAGGTGTTTAGGGACCATTGGACTGAATCCTGAGTATTGTTTCTGTTCTTTATTTTCTTTTTTTTTTTGATTAATTTTTTCTTTCACAAATTAATTAATTTTCTTCCATATTCATTGTTTTTACTGAGTTATTGTCCTAACTTCCAAGGCAATCCCTTCCAGAGTAAATTATTTATTAAATGTTAAACATTTGCTTGCATGTTTGAAGCCATGCCTTGATTTGCTGTCATAAAGTAACCAGTGTGGTGCTGAAGCCTGGAAGCAGCTCCCCAGGCTGGGACCATCAGTGTCCCCAAAATCTCTAAGATCTCATTCCTCACTCTGCTTGGCAGAGCTGCTCTTGTCATTGGTGAGAGCCCACCTTGGCCTGAGCACCAAGGGCTGAGGCATTGGTGTCTTCCCAGGTGGTGGAGGAGGAACTCCAGGCAGTCCATCGCCATCTGGAAGAGCAACAGGGCACGAGTGCCACATCTCCTGGGAGACCTCCGGGGGTGGCAGCACACCAGGAGCCTCTGGAATGGTAAGTGCAGTCCCATTCTCCATCTGGGAATGCCAACAAGCCCTTGGGCTGAAGGTCTCTGAGGACTTTTGCAAAATGAATTGCTTTGAGATGTAAGAGGAATGTGGTTTGTACAGCAAGAAGTGGATGAAGGTCACTGAAGCAGCTCCAGATTATGTGGGTTTGAGCTGCATCTCCACACACACTGGAATCCCTTCTCACCAAAATCTCCTGAATTTTATTGATCTAGTAATGAAACTGTCATACAGTTTCCTCATTCCTGAAACTTGTTTAAATGCATTCTTTTTTTTTTTTTTTTTTTTTTTTTTTTTTTTTAAGAAGCACATCCCCGCTCTGATTTATTTTAAAATGGCTTTTAGAAGGTGTCATCCTTGTGATGAAGTGTTAGGTCTGTGTTGCCAGTGTGCCATTAAAAATTGAATTTCTGACGTTTAAATGTCTCACTCATCCCAAGTGTCACAGTTTGACAGCTCTGCATGTCACATTACAGCAGAATATTATGAATCCATTTCCTCTGTCAGGTCAAAAAAAAAAAAAAGACTGAAAATGAGAGAAAGCAAAAAAAAAAAAAAAAAAAAAAAGACTGAAAATGAGAGAAAGCAAAATCTGCAGTCTTCTTCATTAGTGAGATGGAAATTTACAGAAATAGACATGTTAACCCTGAAATTACTTAACTGGCACTCTCTACCTTGTGCTGCCTGTCTGTGCCCAAGCAATCTTCGTTCCATGTTCCTGTACAAACACCAAGAGAATGCTGGGACAATCTTTTCAGTTGTCTGCAAACTTGTCAAACGTGGAGTGAGGGATATAAAGGGCATCAACAAACAAATAGTGTTGCAAAATCAAAACATGGCCAGATCCCACTGTTTATTTTTTACTATATCAATGAAAAGGTCGTGTGGTGTATTTCTTGTTGCTTTGTTTTGCCAGCTTTAGACAGCTGTAGCTTTGGTGTCCTTTCTTTGTTCATCTGTCTGGTATGTGATAACTTCAAAACATGACATCTGATCAGGTTCAAAACATTGGAGTGTTTGCATCAGTAAGCAGAACTTCACTGATTTTGCCTAAAGTTATGAAAGTGGCCTGAGCTTTCTATGTTTTCTGCCTACAAGGTGTGACCAGGGAGCGTGCAGGGCTTTGATAATAAATTTCTGATGTCCGTCAGCTCTTGGACGTGGCTCCATTTGGCCGCTGCCTTCCCAGTGATGGGCAGAACGGCACTGCCCAGCCTCTTCTCTTGCACGAAGTGGCCTCCCGCTACGAGGGCCCCCCAAAGCTAACAGCTGGCATCAGGTGCCTGTTGCTTGAACAGATTACTCTGCCCTTTACGCCCGTTCCTTTCGCAGAGAACTTTCAGGAAAAGCGCGGCCGCGC